CATCTATTATTTGTCTTCCTTTGATGAAAGCCATTTGTTGAGCATTGACAATTTTCCCTACCACCCTCTTAAGTCTTTCGGTTAAGACTTTTGAGAGCAATTTGTAGAAGCTCCCTATCAGACTGATCGGTCTGAAACCTCTCAATTCTTTCGCACCTGTCTTCTTTGGAATCAAAGGTATATATGTTCCATTGAAGCTTTTCTCAAACATCTCCTGAGAATGGAAGTTGTTGAAGGCCGCCATGATGTCTTCCTTTAATGTTAGCGTGGACGTTGGGTATATGATGTCTTCCTTTAATATTCGCTGCCATTGTCAGTTCTCAAGGTTTTTATTTTGGCATCAAAATGAGTACAAATCATCTTATGAAATGACTGAAAATAAGAGAAAACTTCACTTTTGGCTTTTAACAAATATACCCAAGTCATCCTAGTGCAACAATCAATGAAAGTAACAAATCATCGACTACTAGACAAAGAAACAGTTTGGGTAGGGCCCTGGATACATCAGAATGAATAGTCATAAACGGAGTTGTGCTTCTATTATCACTCACAGGATAAGAGTTTCTATTTCACACGCATCACAGAACAAAGATTCAACTCGAGTCCTTGAAAACAAACCGGGATATAACTTCTTCAAAACAAAGAATGATGGGTGTCCTAACCGTCTATGCCGTTGTATTATTTCTTGGTTGACATCCTTACTTCATCAAAAATGGCGTGATCAGAGTTTGAATCACATCTAATATATACAAGTCATCACGCAATCTACCACTGCCAATCCTTTTCCCTGTTTGAAGATCCTGAAAAATACATTGATCGGGAAAGAACTCGATTTTACAGTTTAGAGCTTTGGTGGTGATGGAACTCAGGGACATGGAGCACGGATGATAGTTTAATATTAAGAGTATAAATGACACAACCTGTTCCAAAGATAGGTGTTAAAGAACCATTGACTATTTTAATATTAGCTCCTTTGGGACGCGGAGAAAATTTTGAATGCCTTTGGAATAGCCTTTCGTGTGTCTATTTGCACCAGAGTCAACAATCAAGAATTAAGGTGAGCAACAAAGGCTGTACCTGATTGCATATGATTGGATGTGGCAACACTAGCGGAGTCAAGTTTGGCTAGGAGGCGACGGAGAAGCTGAATTTCATCCGAAGACAAGATTTCTCCAAAAATCGTATCCTTCAATGTCTCCATATTTCAGCCCAATCAAAGGAAATCGGAAGGAGTTTGTATTGTGGACGACCAAGAGAGAGAAAACTCAACCTTTTTGATAAAAAAGGAATCCTAGTGCTGCGAGGGAGATAACTCACCTCAAAAAGGCAGCAATGACTCTGATACCATGTAGATTTTGAGAAGAAGAAAAGTCTTCTTGTATTTCTGTGTATGATTACATCCCATGAGCAAGAGAATTTATACAAAACTCCTAATGCTAATTAAGGAAATAAAATAAATCTATACAATCAATACAGCTATCAAATCAAATCAAATAAAATAAAATCAGAATAAAATCTGATCTCCTAAATTTAATCAAATCTCCTGAAATCATGCTAATCGACACTTCTAAATCAAGTCTCCTCAAATCATGCTAATCAACAACTTGTCGGCAATATTTCCAGAATTTATTGAGCACCTAATCGGCAATTTTCCCATTTCTCTCTGTAATCACTTGTTTTTCTACCATAGGGATCTTGAAATCCCTTCACTTGCACAGTCTTACACTTCTGCTGATTATATGTACACGTGTATATGTTGCTGAGGCGTAAGAAACATTCTCCCACCTCAAGGGTGGTCGTTGGGTGGAGCAGAGACTGAGTTACTGCCACTTTTTACTTCTCTTTCATTACTTTAAACGTCCTTGTCTCTTTCTGTGGTGATTTATGTATGCCTCTAAGCCATAAGGCTAAGGTGATCTATTCTTCTAAATGGAGGTGGAATTCTCATTCTTAATCTCTTCTTAGCGGAGTGTAACAATGCTAATCTATAACATTATGTTCATATTCAGCAGTCAACAACTGATTACAAGTTGACTGGTCTTTTCTGCTTTCTTTCTAACATTCTTCTTGTCATGTGTAGGGCAGAGGCTTTAGTGATCCAACTCAAACATTGGAAGAGCTCTACTCACTTTTGTTAATAACTGGGCATGTTCTAGCTGATGAAGTACAGGGTGAAACACCTTTGGTAATAAAAATCCTTTTTTATGCTGGCGATCTTTTTTTTCGAGAGATTTTTCTGCCGGACAATGTTGTTTCTGGAAATCCTTTTGAGACAGCATTACCAATTGCATTAGTGAAATACAGGATTTAATTTACGTGCTTTATCATTCTTGTTCTCAATGTCATTGTGTGATCAGAAGTTTCTTAGATAGCTCTTAGTAGCTGTTTTTCTTGCCTCGATGTGTATTAGTGTGATAGCTGGTCTAAACTATTAGCTTGAATATAATGGACAATAATTTACCTTTGAAACCATTTGATGATTTTAAGATCTGGTCCTAGGCTTTAGAGTTTGGATGGGCAGCAGAGGCTGATGCAGGATAAGACAAATAAAGGAATGGGATCATTGATTTGTTGTGCATTTAGTGGTTTATTTCTCTCTTTTTTCGCTGCTCTATTGTACCCGGTCTGCGCAAGCCTGCATTATTGGTTTCTTGAGTTTTCTGGGCTGTCAACACAATCGTTGTAATACATTATTTTATTCTCTTTTGTGATTCCATTTCCTATGGTTCTATAAATGAGGTAAAGTTTTTTTTTATATTTCTTGTCAGGTGCCTAATGCTATACAAACCCAATTTATGGATGTTACGGAGACAGACGAGCATCCAGTTGTCATACTTTGTGGGTAATTTTCCTACTTCCTTTCCGTTGAGAATTGTTCAAAAAGTAGGATATGTAACCATTCTCTTATCACTACTGACATGTAGTCAATAGTATGACCTAGCTTTTATAGATGTATCACTTCAATTTGTCTGATGGTGTCAATCCCTTACCATGGTCCTGTATGACAACAAAATCATGAAAAGAAAGTAACAGAACAGTTTAAAGTACGATTCAAATGGCTGACTGACCAATCCTAGTTTCCATGGTCTGTGGACCAAAACCAAACTTCTGACAGTATTTTATCCAACTATCAAATTGGGGGGGGGNGGTTTAGTCTTTATAGTCCAATAACAAGTACCACTGGATAGAACAGTTAGAAGTATAAAAAAATGTCAGCAAGCAACAACCTCCATCTACAATCTAATTAGATGTGTTTTAGCCATACTGCGGATTGATTTTTTTCTCCGATAGTGAATAATATAAATGGTATTCAGAGATGTGTTATTAGAATGCTAATATAGGACATGAATGAAATTGGTCTTGTAATATTTAATTGAATGTCGAATATCAATGTAAAATACCAAAATCAGAGTATTGTGTCGTTTTTCTTTTGTGTGTCATTTTTCTCTTACTTTAACCGTCTTATTTGGCCTCTTTCTTGCCTTCTGTCATTTGGAACAAAAGTATTCTCCAATACCAGAGTAAGATGGTTTTTGGTTCATACTTCAGTAAGCATTAACTACTCGATACCTCTTACAGAACAAGAGGGCTAGTAAAGTGATTCCTCCTAACTGGTTTTTGATTTATGAGGCAAATCGTCTTATTCTCATTTCCTGCATCTATAACTGGGGAGCACTGGTGGTAATTTCTCATCAAGATGAATCTTCTGTTATTACATCATATTTTAAGTGATTCTAGTACTCCGTATTTGTCTTGCAGCTTTAATATTAATAAGTGGGGCAAAGCTCTGTAAAAGTGTAATGCTAGTAGCTTTTTGTTGCATTTCATCAGAATTTAGAAATCTCAATTGCAGCATATGGATCCAAATGATTGAGCAGGAAATTTTACAGTTCGTCTTTACTTGCTGAGTTTATCATCAGCACACAATGGGGACGTGGTTCTCCAATTTCCTTCCTTCTTTTTAATTTTAAGATTGTCATATTTTTGTGTTTAACTTCCCACCCTTGTTTTCTTTGGGCTGGTGCAGATCAATCATAAAATTTGCCGAGCAGAGTTTAAATCCAGAGATGAGAGCATCGTTCTTTAGTCCAAGGCTAATGGAGGTAGTTTGTCAACATTTCTGCTATATTAAGATCTTCAAAATGAATAGTTATGCCTTGGGAGTGTTTGATCATGAAACCCATTTTCTTGGGGGTTGGGGGAGTTCTCTTGGGGGCTGCTGCCAGCATTAGCACCGTCATAAATATCCCACCCTGCTTTGGATCAAAACATTTTGTTTTATTTTAAATTATGATAGACTTAAGGACATAACAGTCAATGTGGTACGAGGGGAGTAAATCTTTACTAAATATCTGTTCCGAATCCTAGGTGCTACACCAGATACCTTGCATACACATTCAACTTTTGTAGATTTCTCTGCACAAGTTCTGTCAGTATTTAGCTCTCTAACTCTGCAGTATGCGTTGTCTGTAAAGTGGACTAGGAAATATTAGCTTAGATTCCTTCTGATGAGGTTCATATGTTAAAAACTGTTTAGCTATGCTTTTCCAAGTATGATTATTCCTGATCTGTTCTTCTGATCTTCCAATACAGTGGCCCCTTGCAGGGGATATTTCCTTTTAATACTCAGATTTCGGTTCAAAATTTTAATATGATTCAGTAGTTATAACATATATAGTCCTCCCTTGGTACTTGCTTATAGTTTTCATGTTATTCTCGGTGTTAACTAATATGCTCATTCTTTCCAGGCAGTTGTGTGGTTCCTTGCAAGATGGTCAGCAACTTATCTGATGCCACCTGATGAAAGTAAGGAGAGTGCATCTTCAGATAATCACAAGGCAAAACATCATAAAAAAGTATTGCTTAATTTTTGTGGAGAGGACAATCAGGGGAAAGCTGTGCTTGACCTTATTATTCGCATTGTGATGGTAGCACTCATTTCATATCCTGGAGAGAGGGATTTGCAGGTATGCAGGCATAATTCAATAACCCCCATCATCCAAAATGTCCACATGTTCGCTTTGGCCAGTCCCCAAACAGTGCGCTTTCTTGAAAGGGAATATACAATATGTTATCATTCTAAATATCAAACAAAACATTCACTTTAGCACTGGTATTTTGTTATTTTCATACTAGTGCAGTGCGTTGTTCTTTTGGATGTCCCGTTATTTCAGATATTTGTGCTCAGTAAATGATAGAAGCAGGTAAACAACTTGGTAGGAAGCTTCATTGGATTCATTGCCCGCAAGTGTCTGACTTGGCTTTTTTCCAGCTCATAATGTAGAAAATATGATTTTTTTCCCCTTAATTTGGAAGTCTTTATGACCTCATGGAAAATAAATTGGATATAAAACTTTCTGCCTCATGGAAAATAAATTTGATATAAAACTTTCTTTTCTTATTTAAGATACATCAGCTTCACTGCTGTGTGCCAGAATCCAACGCAAGTTCAGGTTTTTGCATTTTTTTATCGGTATTAAGCCTTTTGCATATTTTGTTGGAGTTGTAGATCTTCCCGGGCAAAACCTGCTACCTCAACGAAGTGTTAGGGTCTAGACACGAGAGTATAAGGGCAGATTATCGGCATCCTGTAGAATTAAAAAAAGAATGTAGAAAAAATGGAATGAAGGTTTTTGAATGTTCGCCCTGATCATTCCCTCAAGCTATTGGGGGTTTAAATAGTTTGTAGACATTTTAAAATAAGAAGTGATACATATTTACAAGATTGAATATCCTATTGATTCTATTAATTGATTTTAGTTGATGTACATAATACTTCTTAATGTATGCCCTTAATTATAGAATATATACTCCTACATCACAAAATATAAATAATTCTCCCCCTCAAGGTGAAGCGTATATTTCCTTTGCTTGTGGCTTGCTGCAGATGTAAACCTTGAAATTATTTTGTGATTATATCTTCCAACTGGTCCGTGTGTATTAATATTTTTAAACCGTTTTTGAAAAGTATTACTCCTTCCGTTTCAACTTATATGATACACTTTTCTTATTAGTCCATTTCAAAAAGAATGATATTACCCTTAATGAGAAGCTTTTATAGCCATCCAAATGTTATGACCCCACAAAGCTTTTATTCTTTATGCTTTAAAGGCTACAAGTTTCAAAGGTCTTTTTTTTTTCTCCTAAACTCCATGCGGAGTCAAGTGTGTCATATAAATTGAAATAGAGGGAGTATTTGATTTTGTTTATTTTTCAAAAAGCAAAACAAACAATTCTTATTTGTTTTCAAACACAAAACTACTCATTTGGTGCCCAGAGGATGAACGATGTTGAGGTACAAGGATTAATTTGTCTAATTCTTTTTAATTAATTTTGTTATATTTGAAGAACAATTTACATATGCAAAAACTACATTTAAAATTACTGCATATTGAAATTTTTAAAATTATTTTAGAAGTTCATAATAATAAAAAAATGTTTGATTTCCCAAAAGAGTAATAGTATCATAAGATGGGACAGAGGGGCTGCTGTCTTTTAAATGGGCACTCTTTATATTCCAATAGGGTCTCTTTCAAATGTATGCCTCTTTTTTTTAATATATAAAATCTGGAGTTATAACTAGAAAATATAAAAGCAAGACTAATGGGAGATAAAAAATATGGGTCCTAGCCAGCCTAGCAGTTCTGAACAGTATATGTGAATTGTTAAGTTATCTTATGTAGATATTCCCATTCATTTTCTAATATTTTAGCAACGGCTGTCCCTACTTTCCAAATTGTGTCGAATATGTCATGTAGGCTAGAAGAATTTTTAAGGCTTTCAATGCTTAAAACGAACAAGAAAAAGTGGAAATCAATTTGAGTTAGAGGAAAAACAGATGGCAAGCAATAATACCAAATACCATGCACAAATTCCTAAGGTGCTCATGTGAGAGGTATTGGGTAGTACAAGACACTTTGTGTCAGTAATGAGTTATGATTACCTTGAATTAAAAATATGAAAGAGGAGGTGAAATTACATCAAGAAAAGAAAAGCTTGAAGTTGACTTGTTAGCTCAGCCAATCGTTGCAATGTGTACATGATACCACAAGGGACCAGTATGTCAATAGCACCTTTGTCCAAAGCTTCGAAGGAAAAGCTAACAGCTGAAATCATCCTTAACTTTGACAAATCATCACTAAATTTGCAGACTTCGTTACTGGAGTGATTACACCATTCTCGTTTGATATTGTTTCAATATGTCATTCATCTTTTGGGTGACTATTTTATAATGCAATGTAAGGTTTTTTCTATCCAAGTCATTGCAAATAGGTCTGAAAACAACCTATTTTGAGATAATTTTGAGTTTATTATCAATCAATAAAATCATGAATAGGTTTGCTTCTCTTGGATGTTGTGATCCAAGAACATCTTATTTTTCATGGAATTCATGATCTGGTCAAAACAGCTTTTGGACTATAAAGGGGTAATTTCCTAATGCTTTATTATCCTAGAAGTTCCTTATTCTTCCTTTTATATACTACTTAAATTATTTCTTCTCTCTCTGCAATCACGTCAAACTAAAATTTCAATTTCTTAAATTTGGTGAATTTCTTAATTTTTCATCAAATGTAATTCAAAGCCAAGTAATTTTACAAACAATCAAGTATCTCATTCAAAATGTTGATGAGGTGTTTTAGAATTAATATATGGCAACTGTCTGTGAATTTGGGTATCACTGCTCTAATATTAGAGCATCCCGTCTCAAAACAGTAATAAGACTTTGTTAGTATGATAAAAAATATCAGCACATCAATGTTATCTAAGGTACTTGCTACTATAATTGAACTTCTCTAGTTTTGTTTTGGGTGATCTGTTATTTTCTTGCTGTTTATTGAGGCTGTTCATTGCAGCAGCTCTGATATACTTCTTTTCATTCTTATAGGCACTGACTTGCCATGAGTTGCTTCATGGACTTGTTAGGCGGAAGAATGTTTGCGTTCACCTTCTTGAATTGGTGAGTTCTAAGACGAGTAGTATTACTTCCATATCATTTTTGAACCCTTGATGGGGTGGCTCTGTTTCTCGTAGGGTGTAATTTTGAGTGAAGAGTTCTGAATAAAACTGCATGGCAATTGGCATCTTCCGCAAACCAATTATGTTTTATCTTGTTATTACCTATGTTTCTGGCAGTCAATTGTGAAATAGAGATTTTAGTTCTTAGTCCTATCTCTGTAGTTGTTTATTATTGTTTAATCCTATCTCATCCTCAGTACATGGAGATGTTGATTAAGATAAAGGGTTTTGATGTTGTTATTATGTATATTAGGTAGAATCAATTAGGGATATATTGTTTATATTTTATTATGTAACCTTGATTTCTTTCCTAGTTTAGATAGGTGCATGTACGGTTTAAACACCCAATAGCTTAGGAGGAGAAGGAAGCAATACATTTTCTCATTCTTTCTCCCGTGTATGTTTCATTTCTTTATATAGTATTAGAGCCAGACGCATCCCAATTCTTGGGTTACTCGATGTTGGGCTCCCATATTGTTCACGCTTCAAATGTCCAGTCCTAGGCGTGCAGTGGTGTTAGAAGTCCAACATCAGTTGTGGAATTAGAAACTGGTCTCCTTGTATAGTCTTGGACACTCATCTCATGAGCTAGCTTTCGGGGTTGAATCGGTGTTGAGTTAAGTCCAAGGTCCATTTGTTAACAGATGTTTTGTATGATAATTTGTTGCACTCGAAATGTTTAAATGGTTAGAGAGTGAATTTTGATCGGCTTAATTTCATTATACTGGAACAGTAAATTCACCTTGGATTTGTGTTCAAGACTAAAGATTGGAATGTTTGTTTTATCCCAGTTTGATTATTTTTCCTGCAGGAGTCTTGGCGTGAGCTGGCAAATGCTTTTACAAATGAAAGAACTCTAGTCTCGCTAAATGCTGCTCACCAGGTATCAAACCCATGCTTATGATTTTGTTTTGTGAAAATAAAAAGAAGCTTATTGACATGATTGGCAATGTACAAGAAGTTCTCCTTACATAGGAGTCTTAGGATACTTATAATATGGAAGGTGATATTCCCTATATGAATAAGTTAAACATTCTATAATTAAATGCAGAATATCCTAAGATATTCTATAGAACATTCTATATGATTTTTGAAATTTAGATACAATGAATCTTGACATGTATGAATCTCGATACGTATTCTCTTAATATTCTAACATGCCCCTTTTTTCAAAGCGGGGAATTTAATTGTTTTGAAAACCTGGAAAGTTTCACGCCTAAATCTCGCTGGAATATTTCACAATCACCAAAAAGAAAATCTGTGCTAGAATTCTCTCCTCTGGAAAGTTGCTGGTAACAGCACAAACAAAAGAAAGCGGTTCTTGCGCTACATAGCGAAAGAAATCTATTCTCAATCACCAAATAAAGATATGGTGCTGTAAATCTCTAGACTTTTATCAGCATAACTTGTATTAGCAGAACAATGACTGAGGGTGTCGGTCTCATAAAAAGTAGTAACGTCCCTTGCCGAAGAGATGAACGGTGCGTAATCCTGGAGAAGAGGAGTGGCACCTTGAACAGTTGTTCTGGAGCTAAAAACGCCGGTTCTAGGAGAGAGGATCGTCGTTGAGCGCCCAAAGTAAGAACAAAAGAAGAAATATTAGCCCAGGGGTGGCATACATTGGCTGATACCGCCTCCCAGTAGCGGAAGCTATTTGAGTCTCTACCAAGATCGTAGAGACTTTGATACCATGTGAAAATATACAAGAAGCTCTTTGACTTGATTAACAATGTGAAAGTGGTGTTCCCTATGTAGGAGTCTTAGGCTACATTTGTGCATCATTCTTCTTGCTTCGTTTTTTATTTTTGGGCAGGGAGAATATGTTTGGAAAAGTGAGCTGCTTACCTTAGCTTTTGCTATCTTTTTACATTGGAAGGGCAAGAAGGCCTTAAAGCCTTCTCCATTCGATGGAGCTTGGATTGAGGAGGGCTTCTCTCTTCTATACTCTTTTTGTATTGTTTTTCCTCTCAATACCGTGGGGGCAGGCATCTTATGTTTCTGTAGGTTCTCCTAGCTTCATGTACCAACATGCCATTACACCAGACATGGGTTCACTTTAAATTGCTAATGTAATATTTCCAGCCAATTTAAACTGTTCTTTTTGTCTTATTACAGCGTTCACTTGCTCAAACCCTTGTTCTTTCAGCTTCTGGCATGAAAATTCCAGAGGCCTCTAGCCAGTAAGTATATATCTAGAGGTTTGTTCTTTTTTTTCTTTTCTATTTTTGTTTCTCTTAACTTGTTGAACTTATAAATATCGGATGGCTTGTCATTACAATTGTTCTTAGGTATGTGAGAAATCTGACAAACCATATGACAGCTTATCTGGTGGAACTCTCGAGCCGCAGTGATCTAAAACATGTAGCTGAACAGCCAGACATTATTTTATTTGTAAGAATAGTCCGGAAAATAATAATTTCTTTTAGACAATTATTTTCTTAGTAAATCTCTGATAATGTATAGGTCAGTTGCTTGTTAGAGCGGCTTCGCGGTGCTGCTAGTGCAACAGAACCTCGATCGCAGAGAGCTATTTATGAGATGGGTTATTCAGTACTCAATCCACTCTTGACATTTATGGAAGTTTACAAACACGAGGTATAAACTCTATGAGATAGTAACTGTTGATTTCAAACAGATGCTTTGGAAGCTTGGTTTTGAGCTTCCCCTAAAGCTGTTCATGTTGTCATTATACCAAGAAAGTTATGTGGTTGATATGGTTGCTGGAGTGCTAAACCTAATCAAGATATCCAGTGCTACTTGATATCCCCTTGGAATCGAGATAAAACCTTGAACAGTGCCTGTTATCAGTTTACTGTTCAATATGCATCTCTTCCGCTGCTGATCCTTGGCTGCACATTGAAATCTTGTGTGGATTAAATGTTACATGTGGTCTTCCTTATACTTATCCAGCACCAACCTATATTTTGATTGATATTCATCAATTTCAGACTTTCTGATGCTGGCAACTGGCAAGGCTAAAAACTAGAGAACGGCACTTTAATTTCAGAAATGCTTGAAAATCAATTTTGCAGTTGGTTTGTAGGGTAAAAAAAGATGCCAAAGTCATTAGGACCACTATACTATAAATTAATAACTCAGAGTTTACGGCCAAAAGAAAAGCTTATTTTTCCAATAAAGGTGAAAAAAGGGTTTGATATTTCACTCAACTTCTCGTTCTACCTAGGTGCTGGTTTTCGGTCCAATTAAATGTTCCAACTTTAGTTGATGCTCGATGATGATTGGCCGAACATGTCAAAGATTTTAATCAATCACCATGCCATTCTTTGTATGAATTCTGATGCAATAAAATAACCTTTCTAATCTTCCAGTTTTCTTTAGTCCACAGTTGTGTATCTATTACTCAGATTTGTGGTTGATTGGGTGGACGGGCAAATCATTTACCTAGAAGCTCGTGAAACGGCTACTGTTGTTGAATTCTGTATGCGCCTCCTTCAGCTTTACTCTTCCCACAATATAGGCAAGGTAATTTTATCATTGCCTCTTTCTACGATTTAAACATGTTACCCGATTCTTCTAGCAAAAGTTGGAAGAGATATTGACCTGTAATAAGTAGTATAATTATTTCATAACCATGATTGTTACAATGTTGCACCTCCAACATAAAGCCTAAAGTTTGTCACCAGACCAGAAACAAATGTTCTTTATTAATTAGGGTTTGGCTGCTTAAGTAAATCTAACTACAAATTCTTTTGCAAAGCTTACCATTCTAGCGAGTCTAACCAATCATCATCTAAGTTGCTCGGGTCCTCCAAAAATGCCACCGGGTGTGTGCCGATCCTCCAAAAATAAAGCATATTTTGACAGATCGTAACATGTGTGTGGAGGCATTTTTGGTGGATCCAAAAAATATAGATCATATATATAGTTCATCTGGTTTAGTGCTGAAGTTATTGCCTAAAGGAATTCCTTTTTTCTGATATATTTTTAGTTTGCTCTTTACTTTAATGTTAGTGTCTTTAGTATATCCTTTAGTAATTGGAACTAGATTCTTGGGCACACGCCAGAGTTGAAATATTGGAAATTATGTTAAAAGTGTCTGAAAAATAGATGTAAATTGGAGGAAAAAACAAGAATATAACATACTGAGAATAGAAAGTGGAACAATGGAATTAAAAGATAACTGCACATCTGATATATTTCACCTGTTAACCTCCTCTATTTTCTTAAAAGTCTTTTATGGGGAAGAAGATTTTGAGAAGCGTTTCAAAATTGACTCACACTAAACTACCTTGTTGTCCTCAATTGGTAGAGTTGTTGGATGAAAACACAAAACTTCCTCACCTTTATTTAAAAATAACAGTGTAGGATTGTTTTTGTGACATAAGATATTTACAACTGCATATCTCTTGAAGGGGAGCCTTGGCGTAACTGGTAAAATTGTTGCCATGTGACTAGGAGGTCACAGATCGAGCCGTGGAAACAGCCTCTTGCAGAAACGCAGTATAAGACTGCGTACAATAGATCGTTGTGGTCCGGCCCTTCTCCGGACCCCGCCCATAACGGGAGCTTAGTACACCGGACTGCCCTTTAATCTCTTGTTATTCTATTCACAAGTTTCTGTTTTTATAAGCATAGTCAACTCAAACATAATACACATAAGCTGTGTGCTATTTGTAGATGTTGTTCAGTAGTAATTTGTTGTTTTTTCACTTTGGTATACTTTTAGTTTCAGTATTAAGGTTAATTGTGATTATTACACACTGCTATCTTTTATGAATTCTAATTTCTCACCCTTATTTATGAGTTCTAATATCTCGATTGTTTTAAGGCTATTATGGTGCCTCACTGCTGGCATCAAGGTGGTATGGCATGTGCCTCATAGCCTATAACTCTATCTTGAAGAGGGGACACTAAACAGTAACACCGAGTGATATGTTAGTTGTTAACAGAACAGTGTCAATTAATTTATTACGATTAATAATATGGAAGTATTGAATATGAAAACTAGTGAGTAAAGCTGAAGTAGAAGCTCAAAGCATTTTTGCATCTGAATAATCAGGATTATGAAAAGGTTTTCTTAACCTAATTGACACGATATTTTTCTCATGTAGTTCACCTTAGTGTAGGATTTTGAATTCCTTAGACCATATAATTGTTTGTTTTTGTATTTATTTTTCTTGCATTGGTTATATATATTTTTATTTGTGCCTTTCTCCAATAAAGTTAGCTCTTTAATTTCACTTTTCCCTTGTAGCAACAATAAACCTTGGCGCTTTTCTGCGTACTTCAATTTTGACACATAGAGGAGAGACCTTTTGAAACTTTTTAAATGAGACACCCAAGAAGCCGTTTTCGTCCCTACTTCTCCGTTTCTCCTCTCTACCTTGCCCTCTCAGTCGCTCACTACTCAGCTTCTTCCTTGTTTTTTAGGGGTCTTCCTTTGGAGTTTGTTTTAAAATTTGCTTATTTCTTAAAAAGCTAAAAGAAGAGTTATTAGTGCAGTTTCTTATCCATATGCAATTTACACCTATTACAACAACAACAACTAACTAAGCGAAATTATACGGAAGTTTGTTTTTAAGAACGGGCAAAGTTATGCTCCTGCTTTTTCTGATAACAACAACAACAACAACAACAACAACAATAAACCCAGTGAATTCCCACAAGTGGGGTTTGGGACGGTAGGATGTACGCAGCCTTACCCTACCCTGGACTGTTTCCGATAGACCCTCGGCTAAAGAAAGGATGAAAAGAAGTAAAGAAGTAGTAACAACAACAAGATAAAATGAGAAGACCAAAGCCAAGATAACAAGTAACACTAGGTAGTACTAGCAATCTAAGCCTGCTTTTTCTGATAAGTTCAAAAAAAAGGGACAAATCTTGATCTTTGCCGGCCATGTTTTCTTCTTTCTTATGTTCTACTTGTCTTTGACTTATCTCCATCTGGTGCCCCCTTCGTTCATAATAGGTGAATAAAACGACAAATAAGTACTTGATTATTAAGTGGAAATAATGTAAGGTAATACACTTTTACTTGTATCCCCAACCCCAACCTAAATGTGCATATTTGTGCAGATAGATATGTTGTAGTTAAGTGCTCATGGGTATTTATGCCCCCGATTTTTCTTCTTTTTGTGGTAAAACTAAGCAAAGAAAACAATTAACATGCAAAAATATTCTACTTTCATTAACAAGCTTTACACTATATTGACATCAGAAATGTAATTATATTGCCACAGTCCCTATGTTTAATTATCCGAAGGAAGATTGGCTCAGAATCTTTAATCAGACACTTGCTTTTTGTGACTAGGTTTCTTCAGTCATCCTTTTGTTTTTAAATTTCGGGTTTAAAATATGCGACCAAGATTCAGAAATTAGTCCGACCTCAAGGATAAACATAGATTCAGTTCCTGGATTATTAGAATCACTTAATTTGTCCGATAGTCCGTGAATATCCCATAGACGAACTCCATTTAGGAATTACGAGATCATCAAAGGAATCAAGGGGTCACGGATGATAGACCAACCATAACAGTCACAAACCAACTATAGAACCTTGTTGAATAAGTGGAACACATTAGCTTTCGCTCCACTTTGGGATCCAGTGGTCATGGACCAATCAGAGAACCCTGGTCAATAAGCAGAACACATTAGCTGTTTGCTCTCAGGTTGGGCAGTTAGGAAGCTGGTCTTTACGATTTCGCAAACAAATAAAAGCTTTCCCTGTTTATTTTATTTTTTCCAACCTAACTGCGCACCCTTCACAGCTCCCTCCACCTGTTCCCTTTTCCCAGCCCCGCTGTTGCATTTCCCAAACCATCAGTGCCATGGTCACCCCTTTGGCACCCCATCCCGGTATGTCAATCATCACGCCATCTTAGTGAAGCAGCAACAGAGTATACCATTCCTTTGTATAAATAACGTGTTGCAATTTTTTTCTGTTTTATGGAAAATTAGAACATGTTGTCCTGAATGACCCAATGTGCCTTCAGATATCTCTGAGCATTTCAAGCAGCTTACGGAGTGAAGCTGATACCGAACAATACAAGGATCTACGTGCTCTACTCCAATTACTTGCTAGTCTATGTTCGAAAGATCTGGTGTTTTCTACGCTCCTTTATCTTATCATGGTTATTTTTTCATCTTTTTCTTTGTTGTATATTCCACGTGTAAGGTGACCTGGATATAACTTTTATTTGCAGGTTGACTTCTCGTCAGAACCTATTGAGTTTGAGGCTCATGGGACAAATATATGTCAGGTGGTTTTCATGCAGTTTCTTCTGTTACTTTTTATTTTTCCTCCCAAGGTACACTGTCAACCTCATGATTCTATATAACAATCTCAAAGAAATTCCATTGCAGGTGGTATATACGGGTCTTCACATAGTTACCCCTCTGATCAGTTTGGACCTGCTCAAGTACCCCAAGCTTTGTCTTGATGTAGGCTTTTCCCTTTTTTTCCTGCATTGATATTAACCGTATATAAACTGTTGTAAAATTAATAATTGATTTCATCTGTGTAGTACTTCTCGCTGCTATCACATATGCTGGAGGTGTACCCTGAAATGGTTACACAGCTAAACGGAGAAGCTTTTGTTCATATCATTGCAAGTCTTGATTTTGGTCTGTGTCAGGTAACATTCCCACACAATAAGATGTCCATGGTACATGGTTTTAGATACTGTTTCATGCCGGGAAGTGCTTGAGAGAGTCTAGGCATCATTTCAAGTTTAAGTTGGTCTAATTGTCCACCATGTTAGTTTTAATGATTACAAGAAATAGTTCCATAGTTGTGTTACGCCTAATGTTACTACTAGAGCTTGACGCGAAGATCACTGTTTTCTGTTGTTTATATTACAGGATGCAGAGGTCGTTGATTTGTGTCTAAGAGCTATAAAAGGACTTGCTTCTTTCCACTATAAGCAGAAATGTGCTGGAAAAGTGGGGCTAGGTCACCATGCTTCAGGTTACAAGGATCATACAGGAAACTTTCAGGAAGGGATTCTGAGCCAATTTCTTCGATCATTACTACAGTTTCTCCTCTTTCAGGATTACAGGTGAATTGGACAAAAAACATAAACATAGCCAGTAGGATTTAATGATTGCAGGATTAATATATAGTAATCGATAGTTAATGTATCTGATGTCATTCCCCATTAGTATTTCATTCAAAGATTTTGCTGACGTTACAACGCCCTTGTATTTTGTTCTCTCTCTCTCTCTTTTTAAAATTTTTATTTATAAATTTCAGCACTGATCTGGTTGGCTCAGCTGCAGATGCTCTTCTTCCATTAATCCTTTCTGAACAAAGTCTATACCAGGTATAATCCACATTTTTTAATAGCAGTATACAATTAAATTCTTGTTTTTATTAAAATGATTTTTTGTAGAACTTTTATTACTCAAAGTGGTACCCCCTATAAAACAAGTTCACATTTCGTGCAGAAGTTGGGAAGTGAACTAATAAAGAGCCAGTCTGACCCAGCTTTCAGAACAAGGTTGACAAATGCACTGCAATCACTCACAAGCTCTAACAATCTCTCCTCCACACTTGATCGGGCAAATTACCAGAAGTTCAGAAAGAATCTGCATAACTTTCTTACTGAAGTTCGTGGATTCCTTCGGAAAATATAATGTGTTAGTTTTGTAAATCTGCTTTGCGGAGATGGCCTTCATTTCCAGGGTCATCCTGTTAGGCGTTCTCCTGTGTAGGTTTTCCTTTTCCCTAGTGCATGTTATCCCAAGTCGAAAGGAGGATCTCAACATTTCTGAAGGGATTTCAATCATTTCTAAGAGTATATATCCTCTGTATCCATCATTTGACTGAAAGAGTTTTGTAGTGTACGCGTCCTTTTTTTGGTCAATCATTTCTAAGAGTGTATATCCTCTGTATCCATCATTTGGCTGAGAGTTTCTAGTGTACGCGTCCTTTTCTCGGTGTACCTTACCCTACATTGAAAGGAGGATTTGAATATATCTTTTTAAAGAATCATTTAAGTGTATATATCCTCCGCATCCACTGTTTGATTTTTTTTTTTTAATAATAAAAGAAAAATACAACAATTAGGAAAAGTACAAATAAGGGGGACAATAGCACCGGTATTGTTACCCATATGCCTTGGCTATATAATAACTCCTCTGCGCCTTACATTGCCTTTTGATGGCAGTCTCATGTAGAGGATTCATGGTGTAGCTGCCGGCAAAGTCTCACGAGGGCATATAATCTCATAGCCGTGTGGATATTTTTTCAAAGGCATAGGACCAAGGCAACACATACTGGGCTAAACCTTACCTTACTAATCCTACCGAGGCATATTTTTCCACCGTTTGATTGGAACTGGTGTAGGCGTACGTTTCCTTATATCCGGTGATACTCCTTATACCACTTGGAAGAGGATTTCAATAGTCAGTTTATATACATTTCTATACATTTCTGAGCGTGTTTTGTTCCCATTATTTGGCTGAGAAGACTTCTTATAAAATTGACTGGGAAGACTTCTTATAAAAATATCTTTGTATTCCATTTTTAACATAGGTGACTCCATGCCCAGGGTTTGAACCCGACCTTTGGTTAAGGATGAAGTAGTTTTTACTACTTTACTATAACCCACGTAGCTAAAATTTCAATTACCATGGCAACAGCTTATGATGAAATTCAGATAAAAATACTGGCTACCTGCCAATATTTTGAAGTCATTTGATGCTCTGGTACCATTTAAACATTTTGATTGGTATTTCTTGGTCAAACGTATAGTACACTGTTGAAATATATGGCATAGACAGATTGTACAGTGCAATATTTAATGCATTACACTTGTAGAAGGTTCATTAGTAAGGAGTTAGTCATTTCTTTGTAATTAGCTGCTAGTTAGTTAGAGAATAGAAGTTAGTTACATTGTCTTCAAATACACGGTTGTAGAGCTCATCAATAGTTGGTTTAGTTGGAACGAAAAGATCTCTTTCTCTCTCTACTTTTTGTCTCCTCTGACTTCTCTCGAACCATTTTTTCTCTCCGAGATTCCTAAGTCATTAATGGCTGCCATAGTATTCACTTTAACATGGTAGCAAAGCTAAGCTGACAACAATCTAAGAAAACTAATAGGAAGTTCGACTATCTTCTCACTTCTCAATTTCTCTTGATCCCTTTCTTCGATTTTTTCCGATTTCTCCTTATTTTGATTTTCCAATCAATCTTTGTTAACACTTGCAAATGGTGATTGATACTCCTAAAAATAGAGTCGGAACTTTACATGCAAGCTTGCAACAACTTGATTGCAGTGATCCCCTGTATGTACATCCCTTCGATACACCAGGTATCGTGCTTGTGCCGCAATTGTTAAATGTAACTAAAAATTACTCGGAATTGACGGAACTTGTATTAGAAAAAATTACACAATTGACACTTTTTGGTTGCATTGATAGGAATGATGTAATGCGGTAGTACAATCGTGGATTTTGAGTTTAGTTGCACAGGAGCTTAGAAAAGGAATTGTACACTCATTGAATGCACAAAAGGTATCAGAAGCCTTTTAGGAACGTTTTGATCAGGTAAATGCAACAAAGGTAATGGCTAGAAAGATTAGTTGTTTGACACGAGAAATTTCTAGTGTGTCAATATATTTCTCGAAGCTACATGATTTGTAGGATGAATTTGAATCAATCTTACCATTTCCAGCACTCTAGATGTTCATGTATTCGTGACTCTAGATTCTTGGATATGTTTAGATCACGTTATTTAGCATTATATCACTCTATTTCATACTATTTCGATTAGTATTGTTAGCGTTTTGATTTGAATTGTTAAAGCTGGTTAAGTAATTTAGCTAACGTTGGCTTGCCTAGCAAGTGAAATGTTAGGCGCCATCACGGTCCCGAGGGTGGGATTCCGGATCGTGACAAGTTGGTATTTTAAAGCACTAAGCTGCCTAGGTCTCAATTGTCATGAGCAAGGTTAGTAAAGTCTGGAGGATCAATACGGAGACGTCTATACTTCCTCTTCTAGAGGCTATAGGGCTTTAGGAAAATTCAACTTCTCTTTTTCTCTATCGTGCGACTTTATTCCATTACTAAAGTTTGAACCATTCTAGTATTGTTCTCTTGCAGATGGCGAGAACACGTACAACATCTACAGCCGGGCAGAAGCCGGAGCTCCCTATTGCAGGCACTACTAGGGGTAGTGTCACGACCCAAAATCCAACTAGTCGTGATGACATCTAACCCAACTCGCTAAGTAAGCCAATTAACAACTATAACACAATATAATAATACCGATGTGAGTCGAAGATGAGATAACTAAATTTTATACAACTCTCCAAGGATAGGTAGTACAAGTCATGAGCTCCTAAGATTTAGAGTTTACAAAGCTAGTATGAAATAAATACATCGTCTGTCCGAATGTACATAAATAGATTTTTATAAGTCTAGAGCTACCATGAACAAGAGGCAGATGTAACTGGAATGCAAGTACATCTTCAATGCTAGCTTCCGTCATACACAACAACATCAACATCCAAAATCTGCACGCAAGGTGCAGAAGTGTAGTAAGGGTACAACCGACCCCATGTACTCAATAAGTAACAAACTTAACCTTAGGTTGAAAGTAGTGACGAGATGGAACAAAGGTGGGAGCCCAACACCAATAGCAAACAACATTTCATAACAAAATAATAATAATAATAATGGTACAAAAAATATACTTAGATATAAGATGCTCAACTCGTTCCGAAAAAAAAAATTGGCATGCTTTTCAAGTATATCAGTGAAAACCTAATTCTTTTACCGTAATCTCTATGCCTACATGTTAATGTATTCATGTAAATTGTAATACAATGCAATGATAAAATCATATGCATACTCTCGGTGTATCACTGCACTCAGTCCTCCCAATCACTCAGTCCTCACAATCACTCGGCACTCAGAATCGGCACTCGGCACTCACACTCAGTAGTTACCTGCGCTCACTGGGGTGTGTACAGACTCCGGAGGGGCTCCTTCAACCCAAGCGTTATAATAAGCCAATCATGGCATAAATCAACATAACATGCTGCAACGTGCAACCCGCTCCCATAAATATCACTCACAAACAGGCCCTTGGCCTCACTCAGTCATCAATCTCTCCAGTCTCTCGGGCTCACAATGTCATGAAAGATAAGCCCAAAAATAATAATGTGATGTATCAATCAATGGTAGCCGAAACTGAGATATGATATGTTATGAGTGCGTATGACTGAGTATGTAATTTCAATATAAAATGATAACTCAATAGCAGAAATGACCCCAGTGAGTCCCAACAGGATAAGCATATAGCCTACATGTCACGCCCCAAAATCCGAGGAGCGCGACTGGCGCTCAACCGAGTAAACCCGACTGAGCAAGCATATTAGGTTTCATACTACCCAAATTCGTCTTTGAATAAAGAGGAAATGTACACCATTAATCAAATTCTATAAACATGTCATTAACAATTCCATTTCATTTGCATTAACAACTTCGTTCACAATTTTGAAGATATTACAAGTTTTACACATCATTGCCAAACATCAATATTTCCACTTTAATTCCAATACCCGACACTACCCACAACCTGTCTACGGAGCCTCTAAATACAACTAAAGAGTTAATACGGAAATGCCGGCAACAAGGCTTCGGCTACACCTAAAATACAATGTACATGATAAACAAATGAAACAGGACGCCGAAATGAAGTGGGGCTCACCAAGTCAGCTAAAAGGATGATGCGACACTAGCTACGACCAACACTGCCTGCTATAGAAATACCTACATCCATTTAAAGATATAGCGCCCCCGGCAAAAGGGACGTTAGTGCCATCGAATAGCACTAGTATGTATAACTAAACACCATCTAATTAGAAAGAACTTTCATACAAGAGTAAAGAGAAAATCATAAAGACAACAAAGTTTCAAATAAGCACCATGTCAACAATATAAGGAGGTTTACATGATTTTCACATAGTTTCTGAAATTTTAGATTGGAGCATCCCACACTGTTGCATCATTATCCACTTTGCCACCGGTTCTTTGAGCGGAGTCCGATCACGGCCCGAGTGGCTAAGCCGTCTCTCGGAGACGTTACCATTATTTCATTCACACTTTTCAATTTTAATCATCAATACATTACCACCATGTGTATATATCATGGCGTTCGATCACGGCCCGATCGGCTTAGCCGCCTCCCCGAGACGTTACCATTTTCCATTATTCATCTCACTCCAATCTTTGGTTACACATGCATTAGTTTACCGGCACTTGAGGCCATAATTTCCACGTTCCATAATTCACGTTTCACATTGTTCCCATTTTCAACATTTACCTTGCCACTTAAAGTAATAGGCATATACAAAACAATTTAAGTCATAAGCATAGAAGGAAATTCATCAAGTTTGGCATATTAGTTCCAAAGTAACCTTGGCATGATATTTAGGCATTTAGCACATAGATCATGTTCTCCACACATCCTCCATCTACAAAGAATAACACATTAAACACATGAGGAAGTACCTACCACATACATTTTCACAACAATAATTCAATTAACATAACAAGTACTGCATCAATCACGTTTCGAACTTACAACATTTACACGGGCACCATGGAAGCTCAATTTCTAAGAGACGGGGTTTTAGCCATACATACCTTGTTTAAGCTTTCCTTAAGTTACTACGACATTCCGGAAATTCTAGAAATCCCAATCTACTTGAGACATAATAAAATTGAACGCAAATTAGGAAGGTATTCATTGTTTCAGCTCATTTGAGCATTTTATCAAACACTAGTTGAGCATCTTGATTTCAAATCTCTTTTACAAGATTTCCTTCATTCCCCAACCCAATCTTTACTTATTTATGTTCAACAATCTTCCCACAAACCTAATTTGTGCATGCATGTATACATAATACTATTACACCCAAGAATCATACCTCAATAACCCATCTCACAATCTCTACAACACCAACACAACCTAGGTTAGGCACC